AATGCGAAATTCGTGCCGTGATACGTTATTTAAATGCAAAATGGATTTCACGTCTGGATAGACATCCATCGTCAGTTAATCGAAGTTTATGTAGTATATGTCTCAAATGGGGGGTGTAGGGTTGTGTTATAGAGGTAGTACCTTTTATCGGAACGACCACATCGAGCGTCATAGACGGGAGATGGTTCTTGATAACTGGTCCTCATAAGACACCTAACTCTCACTTATGGCTCCACGTGCCACACCCCGGGCAACTGCATTGGTCTGCAGGCTAAACTAAGTGAGGGTAGCCAGATATGGCGAAAAACCACCGAGCGATTGCCGGTATAAGCAATCCCCCACCTTCTGGTCAACGGCTTCGGGCGGACGAGCTGGTTGGTGGAAGGGCACTCTTTTGTCCTGAGATTGAGAAATCGGTCTCAAAGGCGGATGAACCAGGAAGATGGTCAACGACATAAGGCTACAGAAGGCCACGGGAAACCACTGTAGTAAAGGCTCACAAGAGCATCCCTAGTACAATCATCATGGCTAGCAATAACCAAATGAGTAACCTTACTGATCATGAGCCGCGGAAACCAAGATCCGGCAGGGGAAGTAAATCACTAGTTAGCCACAGGGCTTCCCAGGTCGTAAGCCAGCGAAATCCCTGTGATGTAAATAATAGAACACTTTTAAAAATTGCCACAAGAGGAAATATGAGAATTGCAACATGGAACGTGCAAAGCTTACTACAATCAGGTAAGTAGATAATACTGCGATAGAAATGGAAAGATTAAATATCGAAATTCTAGGAATAAGCGATGTACAATGGCCAGGGTCTGGAAAACAACGGACTAGAAACGGAGCTATATATTATAGTGGATATTCTGATAGAACAAACCGATATGGTGTGGCCATAATGTGCAGTGGATAGGCAAGGAAATAGATAAATCCGTACTTGGTTTCACCCCGCTTTCGAATCGCATTATAATGCTACAAATTAACACCAATATAGGGAAAATGAATGTTATTCAAGTATATGCACCAACAGCTGACAAGGAGGAACAAGAAATAGAAGACTTCTACGAGCAATTAGAAACAATAATGAAAACAACAAAAAAACGTGAAGTTCTGATACTAATGGGTGACTTTAATGCCAAAGTGGGCAGAGGAAGTGTGGATAGTTGTGTTGGAATGTATGGATTGGGAGAGCGAAATGAGCGTGGTGAAAGACTAATTCAGATGTGCCAAATAGAAGAACTAGTAGTTATGAATACAATGTTTAAATTACCAAATCGCCGGCTCTACACGTGGAAAGCTCCTGGAGACAGCAAAGATAGAATCATAAGAAATCAGATAGATTACATCTTGATAAGGAACAGGTACAAAAACTCTATTACAGTAGTGAAGACTTACCCTGGAGCAGATGTAAACTCGGACCACAACCCAGTAGTAGCAAATATGAATGTAAGATTGAGAAAACCATTAATAAAAAGATCTAGACCACAAATATGCATTGATAAGTTAAGAGAACCAAATACATACCAAGAAACTCAAAACAAAATAAATCAGAGTATCCAAGAAATAAAACAACAAAATAAGAACACTACAGATATTGACACAAAGTGGAAGAATATAAAGAACGCAATCGAGACTGTGGGACGGAAAACTTTAACATTTAAAAAAGCTGCCAAACAAGAATGGATGACACAAGAAATTCTCGAAAAGATGGACGAAAGAAGAACACATAAAAACAAAGATAAAATTAAATATCAAGAAATTAATAAACAAATAAAACAGAAAATAATACAAGCTAAGGAAACATGGATGTCCATTAAATGTCAAGAAATCGAGGAATGTGAGGCAAGGTATGACACTTTCAACACCCATAAGAAGGTTAAAGAAATGATTTCAGGAAATCGTAACAAACCAATCGGGATATTAAAAAATGCAGATGGTACCACTATAACTGAAACGCAAGACAAACTACGTAGATGGAAAGAATACATTGAACAACTATTTTATGATCAAAAAGTAGAACAATTATTAGAAGTTAACGGAGAAACCACGGGACCAGAAATAATGAAAGAGGAAGTTATGTATGCTATAAAACACACAAAAGGCAGAAAAGCTCCAGGACCCGATGAAATACCAATTGAACTATTGAAGATAATTAATGAAGATAATATTGATGTCTTGGTAGACCTTTTTAACTCCATATACAAGACGGGACACATACCCAAAGAGTGGCTTCTCTCAACTTTTGTGACGATTCCAAAAATCACAAATGCTAAAGATTGCAATGACTATCGAACAATTGCGTTAATGAGCCACACATTGAAAACCTTCCTTAAAATCATACATAACAGAATCCACATGAAATTAGAACAAGAAATAAGTGATTCACAGATGGGTTTCAGAAAGGGTCTAGGAACTAGAGAAGCATTATTTGGAGTCCATGTTCTGACACAACGATGCCTGGATATGAATCAGGACATATATGCTTGCTTTATAGATTTCAAGAAAGCTTTTGATAGAGTTCAACATGAGAAGCTTTTAAGTATTCTTAAGACTAAAAACATTGATAGTAGAGATCTACAAATTATATCGAATCTGTATCAAAACCAGAAAGCAAGAGTAAGAGTCGAAGGAGAACTGACAGAGGAAGTAAGTATACTTAGAGGAGTTCGACAAGGGTGTATCCTTTCACCACTCTTATTCAACGTCTACAGTGAAGTGATTTTTCAAGAGGCTTTATTGGATATCGTGGAAGGTATTTATGTCAACGGAAATAGCATTAATAATATTAGATATGCCGACGATACTGTCATATTTGCAAGTGACATGGAAGATCTACAGTACATAATACAACATGTATACAATGCATGTGAAAGTTACGGACTGCAAATGAATCTCAAGAAAACGAAATCAATGATATTCTCAAAAAAACCACAAAATGTAAATAACCTGATCATCAATAATACAACGATAGAAAGAGTAAAAACATATAAATATTTAGGAACGTGGCTAACCGAAGATGGAGATCAAGTAAAGGAGATCAGATCTAGAATAGAAATGGCAAGAAACACGTTCATAAAATTGAAGAAATTACTTTGCAACCGTAACCTTAATCTAGAGATTCGCACAAGAATGCTACGTTGTTACGTCTTCTCTACTTTACTATATGGCATGGAAGCGTGGACAATAAAGCAGTCTGAAATCAAAAAATTAAACTCCTTTGAGATGTGGTGCTACAGGAGAATGCATAAAATATCGTGGATTGAAAAAGTAACTAATATAGAGGTGTTACAAAGAATGAAGAAAGAATGTGAAGTCATAAAAACTGTTAAAATTAGAAAGATTCAATATCTGGGACATTTAATGAGGGGTGAGAAGTACGTATTACTGAGGTTGATTATGCAAGGGAAGATACAAGGGAAGAGAAACCCAGGACGACGCAAAATGTCCTGGCTAAGAAATTTGAGAGAGTGGTTCGGCTGCAGCTCATTAGAATTATTCAGAAATGCGGCCAACAAAGTTAAAATAGCGATGATGATTTCCAACCTCCGCTAGGAGAAGGAACCCGAAGAAGAAGAAGTCTCAAATGGCGTAGAAAATTCGGTGAAGGCCGAAAGGAAATTTACGATAAAGATTGGAGCGAAAGGCCTTTAGTTTCACATGAAATTGTCGAAAAACTTAAAAGTATATTGCTTGAAGATCGGAGGTTCACCAATAACAACTTTCTTCTTCTTCGTGATGTGCCTATCCGTTACGAACGTTGGCGATCATCATGGCAATCTTTATCTTATCTGCAGCAGCGCTTATTGAACCAGATTCTGAGGTTCTTTAACCAAGATGTTCTTCTTTCTGGATCTCCTTTTCCAAATATTTTTTCTTGTAGGATGGCTTGAAGGAGAGCATGTCTGGATTCATTTCGCATGATATGCCTGAAAAACTGTAACTTTCGAGATTTGATGGTGGTCAGTACCTCTCGCTTCGTATTCATTCTTCTGAGGACCTCCTCATTTGTGACTCGGTCGGTCCACGGAATCTTAAGCATTCTCCGATATAGCCACATCTCAAATGCTTCCAGTTCTCTGCACATATCTTCGTTGAAGGTCCACGATTTAACATCATAAAAAAGGACAGAGAAGACGTAGCATCGCAGCATTCTTACTTTTGTATCAAGAGAGAGGTTGTGACTCTTGAAGAAGGCCTCCATCCGATTGAAGGTGGATCTAGCTTTTCCGATGTGTGCTCTAATCTCCTGGTTGTTGGTCCATTCTTCATTTATTATGGTGCCGAGGTAGTTGTAGTGCGTCACTCTTTCTACAGGGATTGGTTGACGTAGAGTTGACCTTCTACTTTATAAATAATGACTTTACTTTGCGTATTCCTAAGCCTTCTCACACCACAATTCATAAGATATTGACAGAAAAATTAGGCTATCATAAAGAGTGTGTGCAACGGGTACCGCGATTGCTTACAGAAAATGATAAACAGCAACATGTCGAGAAGAATTTTTGGATTCCATTGTTACAGGTGACAAAACATGGGTGGTTCCCTTTACACCCCCGAAACCAAGCAGCAATCACGTGAATGGGATCACTGAACTTCGCCGAGGCCAAAGAAGTGTGAACAAACGCAGTCTTCTGCTGAGAAAGTCATGACAACCGTCTTTTGAGACAGGAAGGGCCTACTGTTAATCGACTTTTTGCCTCATGGAACAACAGTTAACTCTGACAGATATTGCGAGACATTAAAAATACCTTACTAAAGGTAAGCACGCTTTTCACCGAATTGATCAGCAACGGAACACATCGTTACAGCCTGGAATTAAATGTTGTAATGCGTATTTATTGGCAAAATCGCTTCAGCTCAGAAATGGATTCATATATATTATCATACATATTATCATATTATTAACTATTTACACATTTAAATTCAGTCATATCATTCATAACCATTAATAAAAAATAATTTGTATTATTTTCTAAAACATTTATTGGGTTGGTACTTACGTGTTGGCCAGCAGTATCCAATATTTCAAAATACACTAACTCGTTGTCGATAGACGTGTGAAAAGTGTAGACTTTTTCCAAAGTGGGATCATATTCGCCGATGTAACGTCTTGTTATGAATCTGACAACCATAGCTAAAAAAGAAATAAAAATGAGAATTACATTGTATTCGTAAATTAACTTATGTTGTATGGTCCTTTATATTAAGAGCTTATATGTCCACTGCAGTCGATTTTTTGAACTTAATTAGTTATTAACAAATTAAGGTCAAAATATGGTCAAAAATGTTGGCAACTGTTTTCTTCTATCAGCAAAAAGTTAAAGCAAATAAACTAACAAATTAAAAGTTATTTAAAAACCTTCTAAATGGGATTTTCAAATGATTCCATCCTTATTTGTTGCTTACAAAATTGCACAATATCTAAAATTAGTAAGTATTAAAAGTAAGTCCCATTTTTTTATTGAATGACTTTGTTTATAACAATTAAGACTTTTAGTTCGAGTTAGTTGAAAGAATGTACTTTAAAGTTTTAATGTGCCGAATTCGATAAAGATTATCTTTAAATGGAATCGTCCACAAAGCTTCAAAATGTAGTCCTCAAATTCGGCTGGCTGGTTGCGATGGAGGTGGAAGGATCCGTTAACTGCATCTCTGGTTCTTGTTTATGGATTTCGACTCTTTTTAATGTAAATAGTTTAAACATTGTTTAGGATGCTACATTGTGGCCAATGGCGGCAGACAAAATTGTTTTGTCTTCTGCCATTGCCCATAAGGGAGCAACCTAAACAATTTTAAACTGTTTTTCCTTTTGTCTAGTGTTGTAAAGTGTACTCGAATGTCTATGAGCTGGATAGCCAAATAAACATTTTTGACGAAAGGTTCCTGAAGATGTTTTGGGAGCGAAAGTACTTCTTCTTTAAGTGTCATTTCTGTGACGAAGGTTGGCAATCATCATGGCTATTTTGACCTTCGCGGCAGCTCCTCTGAACAATTGCATTGAGCTGCAACCAAACTACTCTCTCAGATTCTTCAACCAAGAAACGCGTCTTCTTTCTACGCTTCTCCTACCCTTTATTTTTTCTTGAATTATGACTCTCAAGATGTTATCTTTCACCTCTCATCATATGTCCGAGATATTGCAATTTTCCTTTCTTTATATTTTATTTTCTGTTTCCCGCTCTCTGCCTATTCTCTTTAACACTTCTTTATTCGTGACTCTATCTACCCATGGAATCATTAACGATCTAAATGTCCACATTTCAAATGCGTTAAGTCGATTTATTGTATTCCGGTTTTAATGTCCATGATTCAGCTCCATAGTAGAGTACACTGTATACATAGCATTTAATTAGCCTTATTCTGAGGGCAAATGTCAGATCTTTGCTGCATAAAATCTTTTTCATTTCTACGAAGTTGGCACGTGCTTTTTCAATTATTCTCTCTTATTTCTGCAGTATAATCGTTATTTTCTGTGATTATCGTTCCCAAGTAAGTATATATTTTTTTCTTCAAACGTCAAATAATGATGACATTACTTATCTAACTTGATCCTGTCAAAGTTTGATGTCTCCGCCGGCAGCAGTTTTTTTTCCCATTTCTTTACGGCGGAGGGAAAAATGTTGTCATGGCAACAATATGAAACATGTCACAAAGCAACAATACAAATGTCATTAACAACAATTAAACATCATTTTTATTTATAGTAATATTAAAAGTACAATTAGTTAATGAGGCATTTTCAAAATTGAAACCGTGCAAAAATGTTCCCGACTCTTGATACGCATTGGTAATTGTTGATGATACTGATGGTCGAGAACAACTTTCAGCAATCATTCCCGATGTTGGCGAATCATGAGGGTTTAAAATTTTTTGAGCATTATCGTTCTTATTTCTTATTGAATCCTCTATATATCCTTCGGCAACCGTGCTTGATTTCCAGCCCCCATGTCGTTTGAGGCATTCTAGATTTCCGCCTCCATCAATTAAAAGTGTTGCTGAAGTTCGTCGTAAAGAGTGACCCGTGTATGCGCTTGCATCGTTTAAATTTAAATAACTAGCTACTTTTTGGGCTACTGCGCTGATCGAATGTATTCCCATGACGCTTCGGTAACACTTTCCATTTTGGTACTTGATAAAAAATCGGTTTTCTGTGAAATTTTCAGGCCGCAGTGATGCATACTTTTTATACAGTTTAATGTAGTTTTGACCAATTATCGTAAAAGATCTAATTTGTCGTGTTTTACTGTCTGGGATTTTGATAATTATTACATTTTCTTTATCCTCAATGTCCACAGTCTTCATTTTTACCATTTCGTCGCATCGACAGGCGCCGGTAACCCCAATTAACAAAACAATCTGAAATATTTTTATAATTTAGTAGAGTATACTACATGCTTTGCAATATAATTTTTTTTACCTTTAATCCTAAATACAACTTATCTGGCGCTTCAAACAAAAATTTATCAAACTCGTCTTTAGTGAAAACTTTAGACTTCTTTGCAGTATATCCTTCGCTTGTTTTTTTCAGAAAGGCACGTAACTTTAAAAATTTGCTTATATCCACATTTTTTCTAATAACTAACTCGGATTTTATCATAGAGTATCGTGACCACATTGTAGAAGATTTCCATTTATTTTCATTTTCCATTATATTAAAATATGCCAGTAAAACGTCTTCGGTAACTTGCCGTACTCCTCTTGTATCGCACCACTCTTGGAAGTGCTTGTACGCTAACCGATACTTTATTCCGGACTTGGAGGGCCCCAAACGTGCTACTGCATCATTAGCCGCGGACTCAATTTCGTTTAGGTTTTCCATTTTCGCACTAAATTTGCGCTTGCGGTTGCAACAACAATAAGCTGTCTTTAATAATTGCAAACAACTGTCAAACAACTGTAACCAGGGAGACGCAAATCCCACCGACGACTTAATTATTTTAATTTCTAACATCTAGACGACTTTGATAGTTGTCACAGTTAATTTCGAGTAAAAATAGCGTATGAATTGTACTATTTATGGTTGAAAATTGCTACGTTTGAAGAAAAAATAGTATACTTTATTCGACAAAGAAGCGACTTTTCTTGACTTGCCCTCTATTACGCGCCTCACTTCGTTCGGCGCGTAATATCGGGCGCGTCAAGAAAAGTCATGCTTCTCCGCCTCATAAAGTAATATAATATTATTCTCTTAATATTCTGGCCGCCTACCGTTATTATTTCGTTTGTATTGTTGTTCTTGCTAATTTTCATGAATTTGGTGTGTTTGACGTTAAGAGAAAGTCCGTATTCTCCACTATATCTTAATATTTTGTTCATTATTCTCTATAAGTCTTCCAAGTTGTCGGCTATTATGACTGTATCGTCGGCATATCTAATGTTGTTAATTAAACTTCCGTTAACTTTTATTCCGACTGTCTCGTTTACCAAAGCTTCTTGTATGATTTCTTCAGAATAAGCATTAAACAATAACGGCGACAGTATGCAACCTTGCCTGACCTCTTTCCTTATCTCCACTTCTTCTGACACTTTTTTTCCAATTTTCACATTTGATCGTTGGCTGTAGTATAAATTTGATTTGAATGTTACATCTCTCACATCCAGATTCTTGTTTTTGAGTACTTCTAGAAGTCGGTCATGTTTTACCTTATCGAATGTCTTGTTGTAGTCTATAAATCATACATAAAGATCTCGATTTACATCCAATCATCTTTGAGTCAGCACGTTAAAAGAAAATAGTGCCTCTCTTGTGCCCACTCCATTCCGAAATCCAAACTGAGAATCACTAATATCCATCCCATCTTAGCGTGTATTCTATTATGGATAATTTTTAGTAGGGTTTTTAAGGTATGTGACATTATACTGATCGTTCGATAATCACTACATTCTTTGGCATTTACTTTCTTTGGCAGACAAATAAACGTTGATGTCAGAATTTCACGTGGAATGATTAATGTGGGATATAGTGTGTTCAGTAGTTGGACTAAAAGATTTGTTTTTTCATTTACCAGTTTTAGAGATTCACTTGGTATTTCATCTGGACCAGCAGCTTTATTATTTTTCATGGACTTTACTGCATGCATAACTTGTGACTTTGTTATTTCGGGTCCCTCGTCTTTACTCTAATTATCTTTATATATATTTTCCTGTCTCTGGTCATGGAATAATTCCTCTATATATTCTTTCCATCTTCCTTGTTTTTGTTCCGTCTTCACTAAAATGTTTCCTTGTTTGTCCAATAGTATGCTTGAGGTTTTTCGTTTTGCTACCCCAGCTAATTCTTTGACTTTCTTATGGAGATTGAAGTTATCATATTTGATTTGTAAGTCTTCTATTTCTTGAAATGATCACGAAAACTACGTTGGCTCCATCTCTCACTTTTAATGCTATTCAAATAACCGCTTCTCAAAATTGCACATTTAATATTATTATAAATAATCGCCCAACTGAAAATTAAATATATTTAGGGTGCAATTATGAAAATACAGTTATAATGTACCTACTTGTTAGTTTTAATTCTCTAATAAATTTTGTTAGTTATATAACTAAATTATTTAAAAATGAAAAAATTACTTGTAATTTGAAGGAGGTGGAAAAATCATATGTATAATATGGTAGTAAAGTGTCTTTTCCTCCCTTGAATAATTAATGCCCTCCGCTACGTGTCGGGCAGTAAATTTCATTCTCGGAAGGAAAAGTAGCACTTTGCTCCCTTGTTATACAAATAGCTATTTTATACATTAAAAAAAAAACATTTAAGTTAGTCGTTGTAGAATAAGACAAAATTGATATTGGGATCCTCTTTCGGTAGATAATATTAATAAAAACAATACAATGTTTTACAATATCTTTTAGAACTGCTAGGGATATATTTTAATAACTTCGTGCGATCCCAAAACTAGTTTTATTTGAGTGTTTTTGTCTTAAATACTATTTTAATAAAGCCTACAAAAATTTTTCAACTCATGTTTTTAAAGAAAACAACAACTTCTAGGCCATATATCACAGTCGTCTCTAAACGCTCTCGTTTTCCCTAAGGGTACGCTGCAATTTGGGATATAATAAATCTTTTCTTTGACGAAACAATCTCACTTGTCAATAAAAATATAAAATGTAAACTTTTGAAAAACGATGTGA